CCCCCCCGGCATGTCTCTCTCTTTACTATGAAAATATTACACACACACACACAGAGACGTGTGTGTGTGTGTTGAGACTATCGACCCTCAGTCAGACAGAAGACAGTCTGTGGACAATGATGGAGACAGAGAGGACGTCAGTGTCTCAGTCTGGAACCACGACGACTAATTACCAAAATCAATATTATAGTTTTTATACTAATTATAAACCACAGTGTCGTCTGCCAACGTTCAACGTTTCTCTTTTTATTTTAATTATGTTTGGACCAGATCCAGTTTGAAGACAAATGTGTTTGGTGAATTTGACTTTGATCAATCGCACTTTGATTAGCATCTGAGTGCTAACAGCTAAAAACAAAAAAAAAAACATTGAATTAATTGTGTTACCTTTTTAAAAACAATGAATACAGAACAAAATAGTTGATGCTAACAGCTAAAAACATTGTTTTTCATATATATATATATATTTTTCAACATCTCATTTTGACACTGTTCAAGAAATGTGTACGAGCTACAGTTGCTAGCGCTTTTAGCTAACGAGCTACATCTACGATAACACACTTCCATCTAAACTGGAGCTGTGACCCAGATCCTTCAGACATCACTGCCAAACATCCCCCCCGGCTCCTCATTTTTAGCCACGCCCCCTCTGACATCACCACGGCTCCTCATGTTTAGCCACGCCCCCTCTGACATCACCACGGCTCCTTATGTTTACCTTGCGTCTGAAGACGGAGAAGGCCATCCCACAGGCTTTACACAGCTGCCCGGCGCTCCCTGAGCTGGTGGGGGGGTACGTGGAGTAGCCGGCGCTGGGGGCAAAGCGGAATGGCCCGGCGCCGGCTCCAAACCCCGGCTGCTGTGCCCGCACCGTGCCCGTGCCCATCACCTCGCTCAGCAGTCCACAGCATGACGCCCACATGGACGATGCTCCGGCCTGTGGACCAAACACACACACACACACACACACACACACACACACACACACACAGCATCAGTTTCTGTATTCGTTTTACTACAAAGGTGTCAATAACTGTTAGTTTACAACAGGTTTTTATACTGTGGGTTAGTCCATGTGTACGATGTACTGAACATACATACATATAAATATATGTATGGATATATGATGGATGGACAGAACTTTATTAACCCCTCTGGAGTTCCCCTCAGGAAATTAAACACATATATGTGTGTATATATGTATATATATACTGTATACATATATTTATACATATATTTACATAAATATATATATTTATTTACTGTATACATATATTTAAACATATATTTACATAAATATATACATTGTATTTGTATTTAATATGATAGTAAATTACCAGTTACAAAGACATTTTTCAATATATAATATATTGGTAATATTTTGGAGTATATGGCCGTGCTCTTGCTGCCCATAAAAAATTTGAAAATCTCAGGACAAATACATATTTGACCCCTGACCTCAGTCCTCTGACACCCCCCGACCTCAGCTGCTGCTGTTTCCATAAACCCAGGTTTGTTCACGTGTATATTCAGCGTAAATGAGTGTGAATACCTGAAACCCACCGGAGCTGAGGGTCTTTTTAAAATAAGGTCTGGAAAAAAAACCAAACTAGGACAGCTAGTGCTAGTACAACGCCTGAGAGGCAAAATCCAGGGTATTTACGGCCTGAGGAGCTTAAACGCTGCAGGGAGACGATAAAAAGTGTGAGCGACGCTCCGTGAACGGATCCAACTTTTCACAGTTATTTCCAGGGAAAACGAACGTGAAGTCAATTAGTTCAGAATCAACACTGTGAGGACGAGGAGGACGAAGGAGACGAGGCAGACAGGGGGTGGGCCGTGGTGCATTATTGAAAGTGCTCTTCAGGAAGTGACTGAGGTCAGAGAGGACTGAGCTGCAGCGCCACCTCTGGAGAGTCAACGCATTATTTGGTACATTAAGATAAACAAAACAGAAGAGGGCGCTGCAGCTGGTTGGTCCGAGACACAGACACTGTGTTTGGACTCAGTGGAGTGGTGGATACGACTAGTTATAAATACGACTAGTTATAAATCCTACTAGTCATAAATACTACTAGTTATAAATACGACTAGTTATAAATCCTACTAGTCATAAATACTACTAGTTATAAATACTAGTTTGTTTCATCACTGCCAAAGCTGTGAGCCATAGAATACAAAAGAGGAAAAACTGTAAAATGTATATTTTTGTTTTTACATTCAATATATTGTTGCTCCCAATTTTCTTACTCCAATAAAAACATAAAAAAAAAATGTACGCATCCAAATATAAATACATTTAAATAAGTCTAGTCTATAAATAAATGTTAGCTAGGCTTTAAATTTACAATAAATAAAAACAAATTATGTAACTGTACATACATAAAAATATATACTGTATATAGACACATATTTACATGTGTGTTTACATGCACTATATATACATTTTTTAAAAACATTTTTCAACATTTTGGTCAAATACTTTTTTTTTTTCATTGGTATTTCAAGTTCTACCAGAATAGTATACAGTATGTGTACTACGACTAGATAGTTAGTATACCTAACAACATCCTATATATGTGCGTATATATTTATATACACATACTGTACATATACAGGTATTAGCAGTAGCCTAGCTTCTCTGCTTGTAGCCGTTTCCTGCCTGTTCATTGGCTCTTTAATTAGTCCCTGATTAACGCTCCACCCTCCTGACTGACTGACTGCTCCACCTGCTGACCGACTGCAGTAACAATTCATGACCAGTGAATGCAGACGCCCCGGCTGAAGGAGCGAGGCTGGTGTGTGTGTGTTTCTGTGTGTGTGCGCTGACCACAGGACTGTCCAGAGACAGGGAGCAAAGATGGCGTGATGGGAGCTGCTGCTCCTCGGAGCATACTGATGAGCAGGGGTGAGGCGGGGGGGAGGGGGAGGTCAGGGAGGAGAGAATATGTCTTCTGTTGTTCCCCCTCCCCCCCCCCCCCACCCCCTTCTCCTCTGCAGGATCAATAGCTCACATCAGCATAAAGTACAGGCGGCGAGCTTGTCTCCAGAACACCGAGACGGAGACAGAGGCTGGGACTGGGACGGAGGGAAGGAGAGAAGGGGGGGGGCAGAGGATTCACCCCCCCCCCTCCCCGTCTCCTCTCTGGGATGTTCTCTGCTTCCACTTGTCACAAACACACCCTGATCTCACCTCCAGCTGCTGCTTAAGGACGTCTTATGTAACCTTAGGGAGGAGGCTCTATATGTGGAGCCACGGTGAGAAAAGGGACACGGTGTCCACGACGTCCTCAAGTCAAGACACAGACCAGGGTGTTTGTTTGTTTTTTTAACTTTGGATTTGACTGATTTACAAAGAAGCAGCAAAAATAAAACACATTTTCAAAGTCACACTTCTGTCTGTAAGCTAAGCTAAGGAACTGTTAGCTTATTTGTCACTAACTTTTTTTGAGATAGCTTTAGCTGCTAATGTTGGGAAATGTTCATTTTCTACCTTTGCTAATTTCAGCCAGATTTTTTTTTTTTTCACAGTACTCACTGGTGCTTTATATTCCTTTGACCTTGAATATTTCCACAATATTTTAAGCTAACCTTAAGACATTTCTGCAAACCATTAGCTTCTTTTAATAAAATTGGGCTAACGTCTAACTGTTACAGTTAGTCTGGATATATATGGTTCGTTTTTTTTTGCCTTTAATTATCACCTATTTGACCTTGTTGTTGTCCTGGCAATATTTTCTCTATCAGATTTAGAAAATAACAATAGTTTTCGTGCCTTGAGTTATTTTTTATTCTAAGTATAAAATGAAGAAAAAAAAAAAGAAAAAATGTTAAAACACTGAACTTTAGAAAAAAATTAAATCTAAATTTCTCAAACGGAAATAAAAAAACACGCTGTGAACGTTTGGAGGTTTTATGCCAGAGAAATTACTAAAAAATGTTTAAACAAATGATCAAAGCCGAAAATTAATTAACTTTTATGCTAATGAACAGCCTATTTTTAGCTCTCCGTGTGTGTGTGTGTGTGTGTGTTGGACCACATGCAGTCACGTATTACACTTCCTCAGTTTCACACACCAACTAAGACGATGATTCATGTTTATTTGCCCGAGGCTTTAATCTGACCTGATGTTTTCTCCTTTAAAAAAACAAAACTCTCCAGACGTAGACACCGCCGACCTCATTAGCGAAGACGCCAAAATGAATATTTACAGAGTTTTGCGGCAGCGGCGTCTCAGCAGTGGTTCCTTTGAAACAGTTCTGTGTGGCTGCGAGCCAATGGCAGCGGCAGATCCTTCTGTCACTTCAATTAGCAAACGCTAAGACCACGAGGCAGGGGGTCCGCACAAACAGGCTACGACGGCAAACATCGCATGTACGACATCGGCCGTAATTAACTCAAAGTTGAACTTTAAACTTGACCTCTGAGAAACTGCTTTAGAAGAAGACGAGATGAGATAAAAACACCGGAGGTGTACGGCTCCATCTGTGAGAACAGACACCGTGCAGCGTGAAATCGCGTTTCACACTTAACTGATTTCTACTACGTTTTCCAAACAAACGGCGAGTGCTTTTACTGAACAAGTAAACGTGATGGTGCTGCAGTAATCCAGTCAAATTGACAGAACTTGTCATAAAAGATGAACAAAAAAAGATGCATCAGTTACTTTTTATCGCCTCCACAAAAACGACGTAATTCAAGGAGACAGTTTGAATATTTAAGGTTGGAGAAAAATATTCATAATCATAATATTTCAAACTATACAATTAATCGCAAAATAGAACCAAAAAATTGTTTTTTAAATAAAAAAAACTATTTGCCAAAATATCAGGTGAGCCAAAGATTTGCTAAAAGTTAGCAATGTAAACGGAGGACAGACAAGTAGTAAGACAAACAAACTGTAAACTGCCAAGATATGGTGAAAATTAAATCAAATTAGGTAGAAAAGTGAATTCTAAAAAACTAAAAAACTTGATTGCAGTAATATCTTGGAGCTAAAAAAAATCTGCTAAAAAAAGGTAGAAATTAGCAATTAAAAAACAACGACCCAAACAGAAGTATTTAAAGAATGAGAAGAAGAGAAATGCTAAAAGAAAACAAACAAAGTTAGCACAGTTAGCTAAAAGCACGATCATTATCGAATAAAAGCAGCCAAACAACAACTACACTCCAGACCCCGTGTGGCTGGAAAAGGAACTTTTAACAATTAAAAACTAGTGAAGGAAGAATTATTAATAATCAAGTTAGCAAAACATGTCAACAAAGCTCATTTTAAAAACCTGTTTACCAGGAAAACTATATTTAATTAGGTCCAGACTGAGGAGAAACGGCTGAGGTGAAACACAAACTATTATTATTATTATTATTATTATTATTATTATTATTATTATTATTATTATTATTATTATTATTATTATTATTATTATTATTATTATT